GGTATTCTTTTGGTATCCAGATATCAGGTTTTGCTATTTAAAAAGTATTTTGCATGTAATTTTTTGAAGCTTCAGAAACTCTGTTCACAATGCACAAAAAAAGGTCTGAGTTTTAAAAAGAGCGCTAAATCTCCCCTCGTTAATTTTGAGCTATGATTGGCAAAAACAAAGAAATTGTTTTCAAGTTTGTATACAACATTGCTGATGCTATTTCGAATAAATTACAAGAAATATCCTGTCAATTTACATCAAAACTAGCGTTAATTAAGTGTGAGTCTCGAGTCTACTCGAGTAGGAATGAATATCTCGATACCTTAAGGTGACTGGGTAGATCGCACTCATTATTTTATGCAGAATGTTGTCAAAAAATGAGTAAACTAGATTTGTTGTGATGAGTAGAATCTACCCAGATTCTGAGTAAACAAATGGTTATGGATATTTTTCCGAAGTTCAATATGACGCTGTACAGGTGAACAGTGAGGCTATTCCTATTTTTCAAAGTATTAACTGTCAAAAATGAAGCAGCGAAAGCTATCAGCTTATAATTGGTAAGTTTACTGTTTATGCTGGGATTAAATACATCGATTTAACTTTTAATTCTTCAGGAATTCTGTTCGACATTCCAGGCATTAATCAACTCAGGCAAACAGAACCCGAAAGACCGTTAATATGCTTTTTGGAAAAAAAAAAGCTGAATTGATTTCTACTATTTAAAGACCTATAAGCAATGATTTATTTTTAAATAAACGCTTATTTATTATTAATACTAATATTCTTCTTTAAAACAATGATGTATCAATATTAAATTGATTTCCATAAAACAGAGCAAAATTTACCCAGTTTGCAAACGTCAACAACTGAGTAAACGTTACCCAGTTTTTTTTTCCAGGCACATTTATTCAGTTTTGAGTTAATGTATGATTACCCATTCTTGGGTAACTTCCCTTTTGGCCAGACTGAGTGGTTTTCGACTCAAAAAAGAGTAACCCCAGAATCAAGAAGACCGAAACGAAACCAAAAATAGGAAGCCCTTAATGTGTGATTGCTATCGGGTGCATACGGTTATTAATTTTATAACTCAGTCGGCTCTGTGAATCGCTTGAAACCTTTCAAAAGTTCTGACTGGCCCTGCACCGGACACGTTGCATTGTGGCGGTATTCCCAACATCGCGTCATGGTCGTCGTCCTTGCCATAACCCGAAAAGTTTCACAATTGCCCATTGAAGCGGCAGCTGATGATAGTACTTTGCCTGTTTCCAATGTAATATCGGAAATAACTGACGGATGATCGTTATTGGACGCCATATAACACACATACAATTGAAGACATATGTACAAGTAATCAAATGTTTATGTGCCTGTTTGTGAAAAGATAACCGGAAAGAAAGATCGCAAAGATGATATTCCCGTACCGAGGGCCGAGTGGATGGATCGCGTGTTAGTTGAGTCCATCAGCCGTAAATTATTATACCACACTAAAAATAATGCTCAGAAAAGCGATGAGGCAAGTGCAAGCTGAACACGCCTGCGTACTGTCCCTAAGTGGTGGCACGTGAACGAATAAATTATGACTCAAAACAGCTAAGCCGACTGGCGACGACGATGGTCTTCAAGGATGAAGTTAATTAATATACAGTTTGTGATGTTTTTTGGGATATCATGACGATCGAGTTGAGAGAAAATATGAAAAAAAAAAGTAAAGGGTTGTGTCCTAGACACGACCGCAGTATGACGTAGAACCACACAAAATTGTTGTTTTTCATGCATTTTTGACTATTATACTTTATCTTAAAATTTTCAAGTATTTCAATGTTTCGGTTATGGTTGATTCAAAACAATTTACACATTTTCTTTACAAATATCCATGTGAAATTCCACATGATTTTCATTTGACCACACATAAACAGAATCCACTCAGAAGTACACATGAAATTTACACGCAAATGAATAGTATGTGTGGTCACTAGACTGATGCAAAATTTGAAATTTTCGCTCCACAGTGCTCAAACGGTGCCAAATCGGGTCCTGATTAGCCTCCAAAAGAGAAAACTCATTTTATAAGAAACTGACTTGGCACAAACCATTTGAAGTTTACATGGAAATTACTATGGGAAAACAAAACTTTTTGTTCATTGTCTTCTTGCCTTTTTACACATTGTACTGTTAACACATTTTATTGCTATTCTTATGGGAATTTTTATCAGCTACAACTTTGCAGAAGATCATTTTTCATCCAAACGTCAAATTAAATAGTTATTAATTTTTTAAGAGATTGATAATCTTATGGCAAGATTAAGCAACTGTATTGTGGGCAACACTGTATTCTGCAGTGTGACATAGTAGCCATGATTTTTGTCCTCTATTCTACGCGCCATAAACACCAATGTTGCCTGCTGAACAGTTGATTGAGCATAATCATAAGACATCAGGGACTTGAATCATTAATAATTTTTGTTCCTTACGTTTGATCGAAAAGTGGTTTTCAACAAGTTCAGCTATCATTTTCTAAAGTAGAGTGAACTGGTGAATTTTGAGATAGATATAAACTGAAATTATGGTTTCTCCATAGTAATTCCCATATAAACTTCAAATGGTTTGTGCCAAGTCAGTTTCTCACTAAATGAGTTCAAATTTTGGGAGGCTTATCAGGGCCCAATTTGGAACCATTTGAGCACTGTGGAGCGAAAATTTCAAATTTTGCATCAGTCTAGTGGTCACGCATGGTTTTTAAATGTACATATTTTAAGTAGGGGAATTTACGTATTCTCGGCAACCTAAGCAGCGACCTTCTTTCTATAGCCTTTTTCTCTGAGGAACGCACACATATGCAGTATTGGTTTGTTTACAATCTTTTGCTGCCAGCTGCTCTAACAATTTCAGTCGAAAGAATTGTCAAAAACTGTTTTGAAACGCTTTTAAAAAGCTCCAATCTTCTCTAGTGAGAGCGAGTATTGTCGGCAACCAGTTTTTCTTCGGCAACCGTTCCATTTGAACTGCATGTAAATCTGCTGTTCTATTATCGGCAACTCGAAATCAGCTACAATTTGTAGTGTGTGTGTTTCATTTCAAGAAAACCTTGCTAGATTGCTTTTTCCCAGTGGTAAAAATATAGTCAAATTGAAGCTGAAAGCATAAAGAATCGTTTGCATGCATTCAGCGAAGTGTTTTCGTAAGAAAATCCAGTGAAAATAGTGTTTCAATTTGGGTTGCCGAAAATAGTCTTGCAAGCCGAAGGCGTCATTTCCCCTATGGGAAGGTCCATTAATTATGTCACGCAAATTTAGTCCATTTTCAACCCCCCCTCCCCCCTTTGTCACATATTTTGTATGGAACTTAATTTTTTTTTTGTATGACTCGTCACAGTTTCCAAAACCCCCCCTCCCCCCTAAAAGTGTGACATAATTAATGGACGACCCCTATGTGGCTGACACATAGATATTGTTTTGTTAGGAGCGGTATTTGAGGGGTGGGGGGGGGGGGGGGTTAGGAAAGGTTGTTGAGGGGTGGGGAGGGGGTTGGTTAGGAAAGGTTGTTGATGAGTGGGGGAGGGGTTAGGAAAGGTTGTTGATGAGTGGTGGTGGGGGGTTAGGAGAGGTCGTTGAGGGAGGGGAGAGATTGTTGTGAAGGGGGGAGGGGAAGAGATTGTTGTGAAGGGGGGAGAGGGAGAGATTGTTGTGAAGGGGGAGGGGGAGAGGTTGTTGTGAAAGGGGGAGGGGGTTTCATCATTATTGTGGTCACGCCGTGATCCACCTTAAGTCGCTGATTTGGTCCTGCTTACTGCAGGACCAAGCGCCACGCCGTCCGAAGCGACAATGAGCAAAAGCATGACAGCAGCGCTGTTTTATATCTTTTTAGGTTCAGAACCTGATAGGATTTCCCGCAGTTTTTTATGAATGGGGCGGAGCAGAAAGTTTCTTTTGTGCAGAATATGTAAAATAGGATGGACTTTGGATGTTAATATAATTGCATATATAGAGGCACCAGATATGTTTTACCGTCAGTTGTGTGTAATTCACCAACTGAATGTCATCAAACATGTCTTCAATGCAATTTTTTGTTCAAATTTGGTAAAACTTGGTTTTACTAATGATTGTGGTATGTTTAAAATTTATTTCCCGGAAAAAAGGGATCATTAAAGTCTGTCTCGTTTTCGGGTTATTGATGAGGGGGGTTTTAGAAGTGGTATTTGAGGGGGGGCGGGTAGGAGAGGTATTTGAGGGGGGGGGGGGTTTAGGAGAGGTATTTGAGGGGGGGGGGGGTAGGAGAGGTATTTGAGGGGGGGGGGTAGGAGAGGTATTTGAGGGGGGGGGGGGTTTAGGAGAGGTATTTGAGGGGGGGGGTTTAGGAGAGGTATTTGAGGGGGGGGGGTTTAGGAGAGGTATTTGAGGGGGGGTAGGAGGGGTTTGATGGTGGGGAGAGGGGTAGGAGAGGTTTCATGGTGGGGGGGGGGTAGGAGAGGTTTGATGGTGGGGGAGGGTAGGAGAGGTTGTTGAGGGGGGGGCCGAGAGATTGTTGTGAAGGGCGTGTGTGCTTTTCCTCATTGTGGTCACGCCGTGATCCACCTTAAGCTGCTGATTTGGTCCTGCTTACTGCAGGACCAAGCGCCACGCCGTCCGAAGCGTTAATGAGCAGTGGCATGAGACCAGCGCTGATTTATATCTTTTCAGATTCAAGCAGAATGATGTGCAACCAAGTGGTATTCGTTTATGATGACTGGGTTTGCGAAAAAGGCTTATTTCATGAAAACAGTGATAAAATTATCATTTGTACATTTTCAAAAGTTTAATTACAGAAAAATTGGAAAAATATTTATTTCAACAGGTTCGTAATGTAATATCCTATCGATTGGCGTATTTGGATTTTAATTTCATCTATAAATGACAAAGTTACAAGCGTTCAAAACCTAACACTCCTTCACCACACATATTTTTTGACTTGCACCCCAGTATAGTCGACAAAGACGTAGTTCTACGTCAAAAACTGTTGTAAATGGTACGCACCTGTGTGAAGTACGACGGTAGAACGCATCGTTGATCATCCAACCGCGAACATTGCACACGTTCCAGTAGTTCAAACAGATCGTGTGTTGCCCCTCGTAGCCGGTCCGGACTGGTGGCTGCACTCTTGCTCGGCGTCGTTGGCAGTCCATTCTGTTTGGAGTTTACTGTAGCCGTGGTCCACCCTCCCATATGCTGTCGTCTAATAGATTAGGGATAAAATAAAAAGAAAAGACAACAAATCAAACTTAAACATGTGTTTCATGCGGTATTATTTTTTTTTATATATTGCATTTACTACTAGACTGGTTCTATTTGATGTATGCCCACTACTCACTACTGGTCGGTGTAATTTTTATGATTGATTGCTTAGGCTACACTCCTTTATTTAATGTCGGTCTCTGTTCCGCAATCTAGACGCAATCACCGACGGACATCGATTGCCTCCATTGACGGCAATCGAATGTGCAGGAAGGTAGCTTCGACACCTGTGTAGCATATCGCACCCATTCATCAACATATATGGGCCGGGACCAACGGCTTTACTCCCCTTCGGAAGGAAGACGTAACCAGAGATTTGTATGCATCAGAAAAATCCCACCGACCGAGGTCGAGACTGAGATTGAACCCAGTCACATTGGGATGAGAAAGCAGTCACTTACCACTACACCACCGGCGCCAGCATGCTTAGGCTACTGGATAAAGTGAAATCTAAAATGATCTTCCCAGGGGGCAGGACACCTAGGCTGAATAGATCAAAATATTTTCTTGACTAAGCCTTAAAAACAAAACTACTTATCTGTAGAACAAACATTCAGAGGCGTGATTGCGTGATTGCTTCTTATTCCAAAGGGCCTGAGTTCGATACCTATCGGTTTTGGAGATGAACTAGCCTAGAGGCTAAAACTCTTAATAATCAATTATTAAAAAAGATCCCAATCGACACCGCCGGGATTTTCTGAGGCATAAAATCTCTGATCACGCCTTCTTTCGGCCAAGGAAAGTAATGCCGTTGGGCCCCCAATCTATGAGTTGGTGAGTCGATATGTAGGGTCCAGGTGTGTGACAGCGCATGCCTTCCTAGCATTGGTCTCAGTACTGAAAATACTCAAATGTTTTCGTTGATATTTATAAATATTTGTTGATATTTTCTAATATATCTAACTCGCGAAATAGCAATCGGTTAGGTAGTCAGCATTTAGTCAGTATATGACACCTCCTCTACAATGGTTAAGCCAAATCGCAGAACGAAAAATAAAACAAGACAAGCCGAAAAACACATATATTATGATACACCCGTTGACGCCTAACAGCAGGGAGTAGGAAGTTCGTGTTAATTTATCAATTTTGATAAATTGATCCGTTTGCGTGATCATTGCTCGCACCTCCATCTGAAAACACATAGTAGTCGGTTTTTTTGGGTGCAGGCCATACACAGAAAAAAAGTTCTGAATTTAACTGTCGCGTAAAATCACCTCTCGTTGAATTTTGAGCTATTTTGGCATAAACATCGAAATTTCTTACAACCTTTTATACAATATTGTGGTTTTATGCTTTATTTCCCTAATATCCTAAATATCATGTAAAATTGCATCAAATTTGGGCGTTTATAACGTGTGCGCTATATATCGCAGAAATTTACATAAATTTATCATACATTGTACAGTTGAGTCCAAACCGTTTGAAAAATTCATGTAAATTTCTGCGAGATACAGCGCACATAAAATTAACGCTAGATTTGGCATAAATTTACGTGATATTTCGTGTAAATTTAAGCGCGATATCTCATAAATAAGCAATGTTGTATGCAAGCTTGTAAACGATTTCGCTGTTTATGCCAAGTATAGCTCAAATTTACGCGATAGTTAAAATTTAGAATTTTATCTGTGCAGAGCAGACTGAGAGGGACGTCAATTAGTCAACTGTCAGTCTGCGTGTAGTATCTCGTTTGCATGCTTTACGTTTATTTGTATCTATCAGGAATGGATCAATGAAAATGTGGAGGATTTGACAGAGCTATGCTGTGGTTACCACAGTATTTTACGCATGATCGTCCATATACAGTAGCGCCAAAAGCATGCCGGGGTGGGTTCAAAGCTTGAGCATTTAAAGTGATCAATTGCGTTTATTTGTATCTATCATGGTAGCCAGCCGCACGCCAAGCTAATGTGTGCTAAAAATTATTCATATTTACACGATTAGATCAAAATATGTTGATGCCGAGGAGAACCGTGTCACGAAAGCGAGAATGATTAGTTACCTTATTTATACATTAGGAGAGCAAATCGTAGAAGGTGAATTTTGGTTTTTAGTAGCTTTTTATTTCAGGAGAAAGAAAATGTGTGTACTTTGGGCTGGGAAGATAATCGTATAATGATGATTAATTATCCAATTTGATCTTCAAAATTTAAGTGGCTCTAATAGGCATGCTTGGCATACACAGTGACATAAAAGGGGCCATGAACCACTAGACTGATGCAAAATTTGACATTTTCGCTCCACAGTGCTCAAGCGGTTTATATGGGAATTACTATGGGAAAACCAAACTTTTTCTTCGTAGTCTTCTATCCTTCTTCCATATTGCACCGTTAAAAATTATATATAGCAATTCTTATGGAATATTTTCTCAGCTGCAACTTAGCTGAATATTGTTTTTCTGCCAAACATCAAATTAAATAGTTATTAATTGTTTAAGAGATTGATAATCTTATGGCATGATCAAGCATCTTTTTTGTGGGCAACACTGTATTCTGCAGTGTGACATAGTAGCCATGATGTTTTAGCTCTATTCTACGCGCCAGAAACATCAATGTTACCTGCTGAGCAGTTTATTGAGCATAATCATAAGACAATAGTGACTTGAATCATTAATAACTTTCGAAAATTTCAAATTTTGCATCAATCTAATGAACCACATATAATTTTTTTTAAACGTTTGGATATCATGACTTTTGGGTTAACAATAAGGGGCCTCCCTAGCTCAGCCGGTAAAGGCGCAGCTACAAAGCAAGACCATTCTGGAGGTGGCTGGGTTCGATTCCCGACCCGGTCTAGGAATTTTTCGGGTTGGACAATTTCTCGACTCCCCTTTGCATAGAAGTATGATTGGACTTGCCACATAATTATACCAATGCATCGAAAGCTCTCAATTAATAACTGTGGAAGTGCATCTAGAACACTAAGTTGAGAGCGCGTAATAAGCTAATATGCGATATGCAATAAGCTTGAAATGCGAAGAAGAAGAAGAAGAAGAAGAAGCGTTAACAATAATTCCTCAGATTTTTTTTAGCTCAGGTCAGTAAGTATTTTCCATGTTCTATCACCGCTAGTGTTTACTTCCGGTGATAGGACTTAGAAAATTATTGATTTTTATTTTTACTGGCCAGTGCTAGAAAAAAAATTGTTAGCGCATATGTCATATGATTTGCAAAATAAAACGTTTACAATCAAAATGGTCCATTTTTATTTGACTAGACCTGAGTGAAAATAAAATGTGATGTATTATTTTTAGCGCAGGAGTCTACTACACATGATGCGAAACCATGTATCCTTTCCAGGAGTTTCGGTTCCAGCAACTGGTATAAAGCATACATTTGAAGCAACAGCAACAACAGTGAACCAAACTTCACGAAAATCAAATGTAGTTCAACGATCCATATTTCCAAACAACTAAAAAAAAATTACAAACCGTACGCTTACTCATATCAGTCCCGAAAACTTAATTAATTAATCGACTATTTTGCAAACCGCATCTTTCATCTGCTTGCATGAGCGCATCTCCAAATTCAGCTAAAAAATTCATCCATTATTTTAATAGAATCATTTTCACCGTATGAATTTCTGTTCCGTTGTTTCGGTGTTTTTCCTCATATAAATGCGGGATTCAAAATTGAATCTACATACCTACCGATATCTGATATCCAGTAGCAACAAATCCCAACCTTGGCTACTGCGTCAAGTGCGGGATTCCACAAAATTGTGTCAGTTATTAACGCCTTCTCTTCCTCCAGTTTTCTTCCAAAAAATAAGATCCCGTTGGCCACTTCTCATCTCATTCGGCTGTCTGCAACTATTTTCACCTCCTTCTTATGAGCAATTTATTATAGATTACATACCGGTGCACCCGCTGCTGGCGCGGTTCTGTTTTGAAAAATTGGAATAATAACATTGGAAAAATGGGAGTAATTTGATACGGCTTCTGCGCTTTTGCTTCGCTATTTTTCAGACAATTTGATTTTGATATGCGCGTAACTTGAGATGATGAGACCCGTAAAAACGGCATTCGGTTATTTTGATGCGCCTCAACTGATTCATTACGAACACTGAATATTGGCCAGGCTGTAAAATGATTCCTACGCATATACACGTAGGCACATTATCATCTTAATCTTCACTATTTAATGTTTATTAATACTAAAATTACGACATTCTTCGTATAAGCATACCGAAAAGTAAAACGCACAGCTCAAAGCTACTTAGCATACTAATTGGTGGTAATTATCGAAATAAAAGCATGGCGTCAGGGCGTACAGCAGCACGGTACCTGCAAGGATGGCACGCGTTTTGGAGCGTTGTTCATTAGTTTTTTGTTTGTATATAGAAAACAAAGGTTTACTCGAATTTAAATTTCAGCTAATCCATCTTAAAATAGACAAATTAATACTATTATTTTCCAGATCAAACTACAATATTTTCGCACCGTATTTTTCGCACACTTTGTATTTTCACTGAAGTTGCACTCGAAAGCGCACTCTAGTGGATGTCCAGTAAAAACACGGAGTGTGGCAAAACGGTACGAAACTTTTATCGGGTGAATAGTAGCATTAATCTATCTATTATAAGATGGATTAACTGAAAATTTAATTATTAAAAAGTAATGAACGATACTCACAAGGTGCATCGTTATTCAAATAATGGTGCCATTCCCATTGACGATAACTGAATGAAGAAACGACCTTCTGCAATCTAGAGCCATATTAGAAGTCCGTCAATCGAAAGTGAACGAAGAACAAAATGCTTTGATAGACAGAAAAAAGACCGGAGGCTAATTGCGGTGTAAATCATACTAATAGTATATAACATACCATCAGAAGTAATCCTATGTGTGGCGAGACTATGATTACCATGGTCACATTAACAACAAAGAGCATCTCGCGGATTGTGGGAATCTTCTTTTTCGGTTGGAAGAAAAACCATTGCTTT